TATGACCCAGCAATAGCACTGCTAGGAATTTACCCAAGGGATACAGAAATGCTGAGGCATAGGAGCACATGTACCCCAATGTTCATAGCAGCACTCTCCACAATAGCTAAAACATGGAAAGAGCCTAAGTGTCCATCAGCAGATGAATGGATCAAGAAGATGTGGTTTATCTATACCATGGAATACTACATGGCAATGAGAAACAATGAAATCTGGCCATGTGTAGCAACATGGATGGACCTTGAGGGTGTTATGCTGAGCACAATAAGTCAGGCAGAGAAGGACAAATACCATATGTTTGCACGTATAGGAGGATTAGGAGGAACTTAACTGAAGAACAAGGGGGAGAAGAATGGGGGAAATGGTGGGGAAAAGGGAGAGAGGCAAACCATGAGAGACTCTTGAATGCTGACAAAAACTGAGGACTGATGGGTGTGGGGGGGAGGAGGGATGGGCATGGAGGAGGACACTTGTGGGGATGAGCACTGGGTGTTATGTGGAAACTAATTTGTCAATAAACTATTTGTAAAAAAAAAAAAAAAAAAAAAAGACCATATTAGCTCTGTGACTTTGGCCAAATCATCTAACCTCTACAAGCCACATTTTCCTTCTCAGTGACCTGCTAAAGGGCTCACGTGTGAATAACAAATGCCCCAGTCTTGCCCTGATGAGCTTCTTGTGAGCACTGTGATATCACCGTCCCTCTGGTTTCCCTTCCTGGGGACGACTGCGCGTCCCCACTCCAGTGAAGGTAAGCTTGGCCACGTGACTGTCTTTTACCTTTGAAGTATCAACAGATATGCTATGAGTCACTTCAGGCAGACACTTGAAGAGTCAGTGAGGGCTTTGCCCTCATCTCTCATGTCTTTGCCATGAAGACTGGTAACATTGCAGGTAGTGGCCGCTTCCTCATCTCAGGTCCCAGAGCCAAGACTGTGACAAAATGGAGACAGAGGGTTAAGTGAGATATGAGCTAAGCCCCTGAGATTTGAGGACTGTTATTGTGGTACAAGAATGAATTTAACCTGGCCGATGTAGGACTTTTTAAACTTAGGAAAAGCTTTTATAATCCATCTGGGCACATTTGTAGCATTATATGAAGCTTTCACACGTGGGTTGTGTTATGAACTTTTGTAAGGAGTCTATTGATGCACCACGCTTTAGTGGGCTGCAAAGTGCTCTTATGCTATGGTGTGGATATTGGCGTCCCTCAAATTCATGTGTTAAATGCTAACCCCTAATGTGACGGTATTAGGAAGTGGGCCCTTAGGAGACTAGGTCATGAGAGTAGAGACCTTGTGAATGGGCTTAGCGCCTTCATAAAAGATGTTCCAGAGAGATCTCTACCTCCTTCTGTCCTGTGAGAATGCAATAGGAAGCCTACGACAAAAGAGGACCCTCACCCGACCATGCTGGTTCGCACTCTTCTCTCTGTCTCCCACCTTCCAGGACTATGAGAAATAAATTTCTGTTGTTTAAAAGCTGCCCACTCTTGGGATATTTTGTTACAGCAGCTGGAGCAGACAAATACAACGTATGTGTTTTGATGAGAAGTTGCTATTTCTCCAGACTATTTACTAAAAACTACATTTAAGTATGTTCTGACTGAAGGATTGAGGTTTTCTCTAATTCCCAACGCTGCATTCTTCCTCTTGTTTCTCAAAGCCTTTCTTCTGCAAATCTGTTTTCAAAGTTTACTCAAGATCTCCTAACTTTCACCTAATTTCATGCTTTTTTCACCCTATTAAATGCCCCTTCCTTATCACCTCCAGTGTCACTACCTGTCAGATAATCTCCTATCTGTAACCACCTCACCATCTGCCCCAACATAGAACCTTTCTTTCATAATATCTATGAATCCCCCCCCAAGTATGTATCTCAATTTAATTATATCATTAGCATTATTATTGGATTAATATCTCCGTCACTAGACTCAAAATTCCCCAAGACCAGAGAGTGTGTCTAATTTGCACATTATCCTGTCTAGGGTCTCAGCCCCACACCTAAGCACTTAGCAAGTGCTCAATAAATCCCCATCTATGTTATATTTTAAAATTGTTTCTATTTTTTAATGGATTGTAAAAATTTTAATCTTGCTGGATGAGGATATGGTTTAAAAAGGTCAAAGTAAAAAAGTGCGGGAGGAGGTCCAAATATCTGCTCGGGAAGGAAGCAGCATTTATCATACCAAAGGTATAGGCTTTCCCTTTTCTTCTCCTTCCATACAGACGTCTCATTAAGGGTGTTGATAAACGTGAAGGTTAATTTGCTCCTTTTGGAGAGCTAGGAACTTTGTTAGAAGAAGAACTGAACCATGTAATTAGCTCACACAAACTATTGTCGTGAATATTGCTTTAAGCTGAACAATTTAAAAAACCGACTTGGAAATGGCTTTTTCATGAATGCAGAATTTTCTGTTAATAAAACCCACACAGGAGAAGTCACAATGGCAAACAGAATCTGCAAGTTATTTTTGAAAATGTCGACCGGCAGAGCAACAGATGATGGTTCCTTTGTGGGAGGGTGTGGATAGAACTTTCTCAGGCACGATAACACACGCGCACATCAAGGGGATGTAAACAACCATCCTGGGAGGTTGGGTGAATTTACTGCGTGAAGCTGAGATGTCCCGGAAGGATTTTAGCTTTGTGAGCACGGAGAGGAAGTCCATCAGTAGTGAGGTCTCAAAAGGCTCAGCAGAGTCCTTGATGATACCAGAAACATGGTTCACAAAACCGAAGCTTGTCTAGAGTCAAAGAGAAAGAAGACAAGGGTACACGTCCTTCCAAGGGTAAGGAATAAACAATTTTTTAAAAAATTTTAACATTTATTTATTTTTGAGAGACAGAGAGAGACAGCATGAGCAGGGGAGGGGCAGAGAGAGAGAGGAAGACACAGAATCTGAAACAGGCTCCAGGCTCTGAGCTGTCAGCACAGAGCCCAAGGCGGGACTTGAACCCATGAACCGTGAGATCATGACTTGAGCCGAAGTCAGATGCTTAACTGATTGAGCCTCCCAGGTGCCCCAGGAATAAACAATTGATGACGTTCAAATATCACTCTTACAAATGGTTTCCCTTTCAAATTTATCTCCTGGCAAAATTCAAAGACTTCTTCTTCTCTACTCTCCAATATATATTTTCTTATAAGTTTTTCTTATAAATAAATCCTTGTTGGTATCTCTCTTCCTTTTTAGAAGATACTATTCATCTATAATATATGTGAGGAAAGGACACTCACTTGAAAATAAATATTTATGAAGCTGACAGAGATCTTAAGATGTTTAACTTTTTCTTTTTTGTGTGTGTTCAGCATTATTCATCGAGGAAATTCATGTATTCAGCATTACTTAGTGAGTTCTCCCATGCACCAGGCATTGTTCTTGGTCGTCTGGATACAGCAGTGAACAAGACGGGTTCATGAGTATATTCTGGAAGATGTTCCAGAGCTTGTATTCTAGAAAATATATGGAACACTTCACAAATTTGCATGTCATCTTTTTAAAAAAAAATTGTTCTTAATGTTTTATTCATTTCTGAGAGAGAGAGAGAGAGACAGCGTGAGCAGGGGAGGGTCAGAGGAAGAGGGCAACACAGATTCTGAAACAGGCTCCAGGCTCTGAGCTAGCTGTCAGCACAGGCTCGAACCCACAGCGCGAGGCTCGAACCCACAAACTGTGAGATCATGACCTGAGCCAAAGTCGGACGCTTAACCGACTTTGACACCCAGGCGCCCCTGCGTGTCATCTTTGCACAGAGCCATGCTAATCTTCTCTAGTTTTAGTCCATGTCCTACAGAAGTGAGCACTACGTTTACTTTCTTAAATAGCTATGAGAAAATGAAGAATGTTACAGAAGCCTCACTGATATCTGCAACCTATTGGAAAGACGTCAATCGGTGGATATTTAGATTTCCTGTCTGTGTACCCAAACTTCTGATCATAAGATTATATGGAGATGGAATATAGAATACAAGCCACAGGAGTAGAAGAGGCATAGATTTTTGTGATCTTCTGATTAATTTAAAAATTTTTAATGTTTATTTATTTTTAGGAGAGAGACACAGAGCATTCGTGGGGGAGGGAGAGAGAGGGAGACATAGAATCTGAAGCAGGTTCCAGGCTCTGAGCTGTCAGCACAGATTCCAACGCAGGGCTCAAACTCACAAACCATGAGATCATGACCTGAGACAAAGTCTGCCGTTTAACAGGCTGAGCCACCCAGGTGCACCCTTCTGGTTAATTTTAAAACGAAGCTACTGGAACCTTTTGGTTTTGACTCACCTGACCTAAGTCTTCTAGGTTTGCAAAGAGTCTCCATAAATCTACATCCAGGAGATGCTCATGAGCTTGTAGATATTTTAATGTATTCATGATGATCTGTTTTAAAAATGCAATGCACATTACGTTTCTATTTTTCAATTTTGAAACTTGCCCTTTGGGAGAACATTAAACATAAACCTCCTGAGTATAACTTTACAAAACAATGTAGCAATCAGTATTTTGAAGGTTTAAGAATTTTACTAAATACAAATGATGACATTTAAGCTCCTTGGAACACATATGAGAAATGTGCTGTTCTGTATGAGGTCGCTGTTGCTTGCGTGAGCCCTCACAACATTCCTGTGGAATGTAATCTGTTCAAATAGGCCTTCTCTGCTTCTGAGAGCCAGAAAAATCTCAAAGGTTCTCTTCCTGCCATGGCGCTAATTTGAGACCAAAACAACATTCATACTGAATTCTCATTTAGTCATTGTTCTGCAAAAGACCCAAATGCCTTGTACATCCAGGAAATTAAAAATAGACAATTAATAAGTTAATATCTGATAACAGAGAAGATGTTTAGATTTGCAGAAAGGCATTAAATATTAATGAGACATTAAGGGAGTCTTTACGTTCTTATTACTCGATCAGATGCTTTCCTACAATAGGAAAACAATAGCAAGTCAAGAAGGAACTATAATTCTCCAGATAACTTGCCCTCATTCTATACACTAGAGATCAATTTATTGAAACAGGACTACTTTGTATAAATATGATGCAGCATTCAAAGGGACCAATTATTTCAAGGAGCTTAGGTGTGAAAGAACTGGACTTTAGACCACCAATCTTCTCCAGTTTCCATTTTCATATTAATTAATGAAGTGAATGGTTCTTGAACTTGCATCAGAATCACCTAGAGGCCTTGATAAATCAGACATTAGTGTCAACCCCCAAGCATCTGATGCAGTAGGTCTCTGACGGGGTCTGAGAATATACATTTCTAGCAAGTTCCCAAGTGATTCTGATGCTGCCGGTCTAGGGCCCCCCACTATGAGAACCACTGACTTAGAGCTTCCCAAAGTCCATGTACAGGCATATCTCATTTTCTTGCACTTCACCGATACATCATTCTTTATAAATTGATGGTCTGTGGCAGCTCTGTGTGGATCAAGTCTATTGGTGCCATTTTCCTTTTTTTAAAAAAAAAAGGTTTCTTATTTATTTCTGAGAGAGAGAGAGAGAGACAGCATGAGCAGGGGAGGGTTAGAGAAAGAGGGCAACACAGAATCTGAAACCGGCTCCAGGCTCTGAGCTAGCTGTCAGCACAGAGCCCGACGCGGGGCTCGAACCCACGAACCGCGAGATCATGACCTGAGCCAAAGTTGGACGCTTAACTGACTGAGCCACCCAGGCACCCCATATTGGCGCCATTTTCCAACAGCATTTACCCACTTCCTGTCTCTGTCACATTTTCATAATTCTCATATTTCAAACTTTTTCATTTTTATTATATTTTTTATGGCGATCTGTGCTCCATGATCTTTGATGTTACTCTTGTGATTGTTTCAGGGTGCCAAGGACCACATCCACGTAAGTGAACTTAAAATTGATAGATGTTGTGTGTGTTCTGACTGGTCCACCAGCCAGTCGTTCCCCCATCTCTCTCCCTCTCCTCTGGCCTCCCTATTCCTTGAGACACAACAATATTGAAATTAGGCAATTAGTATTCTTAATTAATGGCCTCTTAAGTGTTCGAGTGAAAGGAAGAGTCCATTGATGTGACAAACTTCATTGTTGCTTTGTTTTAAGAAATTGCCACAGCCTCCTCAGCCTTCAGCACCCAGCACCCTGCTCGGTCAGCAGTCATCAACCCTGAGGCAATTCCCTGTGCCTGCACAGGGGTTACGACATGCTGAAAACTCAGAGAGATGCTGGTTAGCGTTTTTCAGCAATAAAGTATTTTTAGATTAAGGTAGACCACTGTTTTTTAGACATACTGTTATTGCATACTCGATAGACTACAATATAGTGGCAACATAACTTTTATATGCACTGGGAAACCCAAAAATTCATTTGACTTGGTTTATGGCCATATTCACTTTATCACGGTAGTCTGGAACCAAACCCACAGTATCTCTGAGGTCTGCCTGCAATATTGGTTGCCTGGAAAGTGGGAAACATCCAAGTATTTTAAAAACATAATTGTAAGAGACAGAAGTCATTGTTACAGTATCTTTGAGAAAATTTAGAAGAAATAGTATTTTTGCTATAAGGTTTTTAACCTTATAGAAAATTCTGCCATTTAAAAAATATTGAGTCCTCTGGTAGATTCATTTGACTACTTGATGTACAAAAAATAACTTCAGGAAACTTGTATTGATTACGTAAAGGAAGATATGTATCCTCTAAAAATGCTGGGACATTTGAAAATAAATCAACTCAAACTGGCCTTAAACAACAACAACAACAACAGCAAATGCTGGTTTGAAAAGCTTGTGTAGCTTACAGTGTGATTAAAAAATTCTTATGCTGATTATTAGGACCAGGGCAGGAGTATAGCCCAAGGGGTTAGTACGCCATAGTGAACAGCTATTGGAGACTACCCCATCTTCCCCTTCCCTAACATCTTCTGCTTTTCACCTTGGGATCTACTCTTCCCCATGCCTTGTATGTGCTGTGCATCACAATGACCTTGCTCTTCGGGATGGACCTTGATTGCTTTAAGCCAATTAGCATTTTCCTTCCCCATCAGAGTGGTTGGTTCAGGAGAAGGCATGTGACTTAAGCCAGTCCAATCAGAATGAAAATGAAGACTTTGGCTATGAATGCTAAGAAGAGATTCTCTCTTTCTCTCTCTCTCTCTGGCCTCAAGGACAGCAGCCAATCTGTGACTATAACAGAAGCCTGTCATAAGATGAGGCTGATGCCATGTAAGGCAGGGATAAGAGATGGAAAAAAACTTTTCCTTGGTTTTGAGTCTCTTGATCGAACCAACCTTGAACTCTCTCCCATCTGTGACCTTTACAGCCACATGGGCCAATGAAAGCCTGTATTACTTAAGCTAGTTTTCTGCACCCTAACAGATATCATTTCTAGGTCTCAATTTTCTGAGTTTGTGGTTTAAATTTTGCTGGTAAAGTACATGACATTGTGACTGACCCAATCAATATTACTTACATTTTAACTGAAATTTGTATAGCACCTGGTAGATGTAAAAACAAAACAAAAAACAAACAAAAGAAAAAATAAAAAATACCCTAATCTGATCATCACAATGAGTAAATGTTATGAGATAGTGAGAGATGATATCCTTATCCCTCTTTTATCACTTAGGGCAGGGATTGTAAATGACAGCCTGTGGAATCAACCAGCCCTGCTACTCAAATAATGTTTTGTTGTAATACAACCATGCACATTATTTTTCTTTTCTCTTCCTCCCTTCCTTCCTCCTTCCTCCCTCTTCTCTCTCCCTTTCTTTTCTTTTTTCTTTTCTTTTCTTTTCTTTTCTTTTCTTTTCTTTTCTTTTCTTTTCTTTTCTTTTCTTTTCTTTTTCTCTTCTCTTTTCTTTCTTTCTTTCTTTCTTTCTTTCTTTCTTTCTTTCTTTCTTTCTTTCTTTCTTTCTTTCTTTCTCTTCTACAAATTATCTATAGCTTCTTTGGCACTGTAACAAAGGAGTTGAGTAGTTACAATAAAGACCGCATGGCCTGCAAAGCCTAACATTTTTACTGTCTTGACTTTAATAGAAATGTCCGCCAACCCCTGGTTTAGGAAATGGAGGACTAGACTTTCTTAAGGTCAAGTCAGAGGCAGATCTAGAACTTGGACCCAAGTCTCCCAGCACAGTTTTTTCCTGTGTAAAAGAGTAGCCTGAGCTCCAAAGCCTTATAGGCAAAAGCAATGTTGGTCGCAATGTGGCTCTTCCTCCCCTTGTCATCTTGGAAGACAGCTGCTCCCTACTCATCCTTTGCCCTGTGGTTCTTCTTCAGGGAATTCTCTGCTCATCAATTAGGGACTGATCCCTGCACTCAATCAGGGATGTGACAGCACACAACCTCGGGGGCATCATTTCTCCTGCAGACTTCATGAATATACTCCCACTGCATCACGTGTGAGTTTTTGCCCCAGAAATCTGTGATGGTGGCCCTGCCGCTGATTAGAAGCATTCGCTTGGTGTTGTTCATGAAGGAACAAGCACTCCAAAAGAGGGAGCTGACCAAAGGTGCGACGGGTACTGTGAGGATGGCAGTGAGCTCCCCCACGCTAGAAGTGTGTGGATGTGGGGTGAGAAGGCAGAAGAGATTCAGACATCAGATGGGGAGCTGGACTAGTTTACTCAGGTCTCACCCAAACCTGAGAGGCCATGTTTAAAAAGAGAACGATGAGACAACCAAGTAACACGTAAACAAAAATAAGCCATAAGTGCAATTTTCTTAAGATCCCCTGAAAGAAGAGACCTTCCCCTTGTCTTCCTTTTTTTAGCATTGCAGAGGGAAACAAGTCCCCGACAAATCAAATTAATATTTTCCATCTACTGTGAAACTGAAAGCCAGCATTACCTTCTTAGGAACTGATAAATGGTCCAAGAAATCAGTGCATTCACGCATGAAGAGTTCCCACACTGCCTCTTACTGCTTTCTCAAGTCTAATTGATCAGTAGGAAGTTTTGGATATGTTTCCGTGACTTCATTTCAGGTTTTATCCTGCGCATGGGAGAAAAGAGAGAACAAAACGTTTCCACCTCAGTGAGTTGACTTGCAGAGCAGCAGGATTTCCAGAATCCAGGAAATCACCTGGATTTCCAAAACCATGTTTCCCACCACAGGCCCTGGGCATCTGTCTTGCCAGTGGCTCCTCAAGTTACTCAAACTGTAGAACTTACATATCAGTTAGAAATAAGTTTCCTCTCTCTGAGTGACTTTGGGGTGCCAATTCCTCCTGATGCAAAGCATGGGATGCATAATGAGAAGAAATCTAAATTGATGTCATTTTGAATTATGCTTCAGAATTTCATGAGCCCTCTCCAGTTTATTGTCCCAAACCCTCAAAGGACCCCAAATCCAGTACTGAGGAGTCTGATTCAGGTTCCACTGGCAATGCTTATTGAAATTAACTATTGAAGCATCATGAAATAAGAATTTTAACATTTAAAGGGACCTTGAGAAGTTGTCCTCTCAACACCAAAAAAAACAAACAATCCATTGAAGAAATGGGCAGAGGACATGAACAGACACTTTTTCAAAAATGACATCCAGCTGGCCAACAGACAGATGAAAAGACATTTAACATCACTCATCATCTGGTAAATACAAATCAAAACCACAATGAGATACCACTTCACACCTGTCAGAATGGCTAACATTAACAACTCAGGAAACAACAGATGTTGGCGAGGTTGTGGAGGAAGGAGAACCCTCTTGCACTGCTGGTGGGAATGCAAACTGGTGCAGCTACTCTGGAGAACAGTATGGAGGCTCCTCAAAAAACTGAAAATGAAGTACCCTATGACCCAGCAATTGTACTACTAGGTATTTCTCCAAAAGATACAGAAATGCTGATTGGAAGAGGCACATGCACTCCAATGTTTATAGTAGCATTATTAACAATAGTCCAAGTATGGAAAGAACACAAATGTCCATTGACTAATGAATGGATAAAGATATATATAAAATGGAATGTTACTTGGCAATGAAAAAGAATGAAATCTTGCCATTTGCAACAACATGGATGAAACTAGAGGGAATAGTGCTAAGCGAAATAAGTCAGCCAGAGAAAGACAGATACCATATCATTTCACTCATATGTGGAGCTTGAGAAACTCAACGGAAGAAGGAAGGGAAGGAAAACTAAAGTAAAAACAGAGAAAGAGGCACACTATAGGAGACACTTAAATACAGAAAATAAACAAGGTTGCTGGAGGGGAATGGCTGAGGGGATGGGCTGAATGGGTGATGGGCATTAAGAAAGGCACTTTCCAGGATCAGCACTGCGTGTCATATGTAAGAAATGAGTCACTGGATTCTACTCCCGAAGCCAAGACTACACTGTACGTTAACTAATTTGAATTAAAAAACAAAAGTTGTCTTATCAAAAAAGGTCCAGAGAGATGAATAATAGTAACAACTTTCCATGTTTGTACAGGACTTTCTGGTCTACAAAGTGCTGCTGTAGCCTAATTACCTTTGTTAAGATAAAATGGCTTCTCCCAGATTTCAGAGTGCATTAGAGAGAGCAGACCATGTTCTACTCAGCCTCGGGTTTGTCTCCTGCTCTCAGCTGGTATTATGAACAAGGCAAAAATCTGACAACTTAAAATCATGACTACAAGGAAAAAAGAAGTTCAGCTTTGCAGCAAACAAGTGATGAGTTACCTTATGGCAACAGAACTTGAGGTCCTCGAAGTCTGTAATCTTCACGGAGGACAGGCACTTGTTCAGATCAGGGATATGCTTGCGTTTGTATTTGCGCTGCTGAAAGATCATTAGAAACAGGATTTTCAAACACGAACTCTTTAAGGACACAACTTTAGTAGCCACTGCATCTTCCATTCATTCTCCAATATGCACGAGAACAGATGGCACATTTTGTCTATAAGCCACTAACAGTGGAAAAGCCATTTCTGGGGCTCAGCTCATGATCTCACAGTTGGTGAGTTTGAGCCCTGCATCAGGCTCTATGCTGATAGTGTGGAGCCTGCTTGGAATTCTCTCTCTCTCTCTCTCTCTCTTTCTCTCTCTTTCTCAAAAATAAAATAAAATAAAATAAACATAAAAGAAAAGAAAAGCCATTTCTGAGGCATAGTCTGACCCATAAAACCACAGAATTTTAGATCCAGAGGATAGAGGCTGGTGAGGATGTCTAGTCTAAATGTCTTATTTTACTTATGAAAAGAAAAAATCCAAGGCTCAGGACAGTCATATATAGCAGACACATCAGAAAGATAAACTTTAGTTTAGCACTTGCCCTGTGAGAGATAGAACATTCTTCTCAATCTTAATTTCTGCAAATACTGGATCATAGAACTTTAGCATCAGAAGGTACCTGGGATGTATTATTTCAACTCATCATTTAGCAGATAACTAAATAAAGCCCAGAGTGTTAAAGGGCTGTCCAACATGATAATTCTCCTAAAGAATCTCAGAATAGTCTAGAAACTCTAGTTTCCTTGAATGGAACCAGCCACGTTTTTTGTTGTTGTGGTTGTTACAATTTTTAAAAAATAACATTAGTTTTAAAAATCTGATTACAAAGGTAATCATGGTTATTACAGAAAATTTGAGAAACAAAGAGAAACACACAAAGTCAAAGTAGCCCATAATTTCTATGTCTAGATAACTCCTGGGAACCTTTTTCTGATTGTATTTATGATTAATATTCAATGGTGTCATAGTTACCCATCCTTTCACAATGCGGTTTTTAAACTTAATATGTTGTGACTTTTTTACGTTGTTTTTTGACTCCCTCGGTATTCTGTTGCAACATCATGTATTATCCACTTAAAGAGTTCATTTTACCAACTAAACCAGGAAGAAACTCTCATAACAATGTGGAGGACTTTTGAAAGTCTACTTGGCTGCGTTTTAAATAAATGTTTATCACAGATAATTTTTTAACTTGTTCTATTGCCTCAGGGTGCATGATGTATGGTGCCTAATGGTGGATCTAAGCAGATCTAAGCAGCCTAATGGTGGATCTAAGAAGTTCCTCAATTTTACACTAATGAGCAAGAGAAAGCATGAGTTATCTGCTGTAGGGTAGATGGCTCCCTGTATATGTGAAAGGAAAACTGTAATAATTCTAGAATGGGCTCATGGGCTATGGCTGGTTTTTCTAGTAGGGTTATGGCACTGGAAAAAGAAATCTATTAGAGGCTCATTAGCTTCCACAGTAGCAAAGGAATCTTGCAGCCAGCTGGGGACCTCCTACAGGATTTGGGACATATGCCTTTTGTTGATGTCTGAAACCATAGTGACTGCATGTTGTGGAAATTAAAAAATCAGCAGCCAGTTGGAAAATAAAGAAACTGAGACAATAGAAGCAGTGTTGGAGCTGTGGGAAAGTGGGCACCAGCCCTCTGTCTTGAGGGGCGCTCACTATTATTTTCCATGGGTCTGACCAACCTCTTGACCAAATTGCCTGGTGGGCATACCAGTGAGGAGGGAGAGGACAGTCCTTTGAGAAGTCATACTAACTGTTTAGGGTAACAGACCCATAGTTGGAAACCTTGTTGCTTCTGCTATGGTGGTCTTGGCTAGAAGAGGCAACGAGAAGCATTTGAAGTGCATTTGAAAGGATATAGAGGGGCGCCTGGGTGGCTCAGTCGGTTGAGCGTCTGACTTCGGGCTCAGGTCATGATCTCATGGTTCGTGGGTTCGAGCCCTGCGTTGGGCTCTGTGCTGACTGCCAGCTCAGAGCCTGGAGCCTGTTTCAGAGTCTGTATCTCTCTCTCTCTCTGACCCTTCCCTGCTCACACGGTCTCTCGCTCTCTCAGAAATAAATAAAATATTTTTAAAAATTTAAAAAAAAAGAAAAGAAAAGAAAGGATATAGGGGGAAAAGAAAAAAGCCAAGATTCAGTTTGGGGTCTCAACTTAATGACTAAGAGGTGAATGGAACGGGAGTTTGCAGTAGCCACTGATGTCTTGGAACTAGAGAAAATGGACATACGCGCATGTATACATTTTGGAGTGGTTGACAAAATGAATCGGTGAGAACGGGCAAGATTTTTGAGAACTCTGTTAAGAGAAAGGAAAGAAGACTGACCAGGTCTGGTGGTGGAGGCCACATTTGGAGAAGCAGGGCAATGCCAGGACCGAAACAGACCCAGAGCTAGACTGTCTGGGACTGCTGGGGGCAAGACCTTACCCTATCGCTTAAGAGGGGTGTGATCTCACGCCAGCTACTCAACCTTTATGAACCTTGATCTACCCATTTGCAAAATGGGGATAGGAATGTTACCTACCTTGTTGGAGTGTTGTGAGAGTTAATAAATTAACCCACGTAAGCTGTGACATATATAAGCAGGGACATGTGTGACAGATAGTTCCTCGTAGCTGTAAACATTATATATGTGTTTGCTTTTATTGTTAAATTGTTATTTTTATTTGAAGTTTATGTATTTATTTTTGAGAGAGAGAGAGAGAGAGGAGGGGCAGAGAAAGAATCCTCACCATCAATGTGGAGCCTGATGAGGGGCTCGATCTCACGAACCATTAGATCATGACTTGGGCTGAAACCGAGAGTCAGATGCTTAACTGACTGAGCCACCCAAGCGCCCCACTAATATAGTTGATAGTTGGGAAGAAATGAAGGGGAGAAGGAAGGATGGCAAGAAAGGAAAAGTCTGTAATAGATTGGGGAAATCCATTCCAAGGTAGCAGTGCATTTATTATATTCCTGTGGATGATCATGTACGGAGGCATGAATTACTTGATAAATAAGGCTCAAAAGATGAAGGAGCAAGTAGGCAAGCTGATTTTAAAAGGAGAAAATACTGTATCCTTTTGAAAATGAGGCTTCAAGAAATGAATTTCCCTTCATTACTGAGAACATTTGCTGAAACATTTTGTCATTCCACTAATTATTCTCTTTGTGGATCGCCACCACTGCCTACTCACATCCAACATTGTGCAAGCCATTTAGCACATTCTTTTTTCTAATTTTCATGTAGTCCAACCTTCTCAATTGTGAGTTAGGAGAGGGCATCGGGGTGTCTTAGATATCTACCCAGTGCTTGGCACATGCAATCCCCCAGCACATGGAAATAGGAAAGCAGACCTATTAGATTTAAAAATAGATTGGATATCTTCTAGGAGTATACTTGTAGGAGTATTCTTTCCTTAGGTAAGTTTCTCCTGTCGGAGAGCACATTCTATCTCCCTGGCAGATTTTCAAGCTTCTTTGCTCTGGAGGAGAGCTGGGGGAAGATTCCCCTTCTGGGACCTCAGACCTGACTAGTAATGGGCCCTGCCTCCATTTCTATGAGGAAGGAGCCCAGGAACGGCTGCACCAGAGACAGTTTCAGACCTACCAGGAGAACCATCAAATCATGTCCCTAAAGAGGAGCAAAGTGAGAATGACTAATGAGCAACAGCCCGGTGACAATCGTGTCAGCATTTTACTAGTAGTTTATGATTTGAAACATGTAATGTTTAGACCGTGTCCCTATGAACTGAATATCGTGTCTTTCCCAAATTCATGTGTTAAAGCCCTAACCCCCAAGTGTGTTGGTATGTTTGGAGATGGGGCCTTTGGGAGGTAATTAGGTTTAGATGAGGTCATGAGGTTGGGGTCCCTGTGATGGGATCTGGACTCTTACAAAAGGAGGAAGACACACCAACGTGCTCTCTCCCAGCCATGTGAGGATGCAGGGAGAAGGCGACCACCTACAAGCCGGGAAGAGAGCCCTCGCCATAACCCAACCATGCTGGCTCCCTGATCTTGGACTTCCCAGCCTTCAGAATGTGAGGAATCGGTATTTGCTGTGGAGACCAGCCAGTCTGCGGTATTTCGTCATAGCACTCCAAACTGACAAAGACACTCGTGCAAATTTCTCATGCGTGACAAAATCATGTGAAAGTCACTCATGTATTCAGTTATGAGAACAAGTAGTTTCACAAATTCCAATGAAAAATAATACTACCAATAATATGGTCAGTACTGACTGGGTGTTTACCATATGCTCAGCTCTGTGGTAAGCTCCCACAAACGTTACTCGATTTGCTCAACATGACCACCTTATGATATAGGCACGATTATCACCCCCTCTTTACAGGGAAAGACCTGAAGCTGAGGGAGGGTGATTCATTTGGCCAAGGTCACAGAGCAGTGACCAGAACAGCATAGATTGGAACCTCACAGGGCTCTTGACTTAGCTATAGGACTTATAAAAAAATATCAATGTGTGTGTGTGTCCACAGATGACAAACTGATTGGAGGCCACGTGGGCAGAGTTTTTATTAGAACGAGGCACAACCACTACCTATAAGGCCTACCGCTCTTCTGGCTGCAGGCGTGTAGATATTTCAGTGAGGCCTGCCGGAAGGAAAGGCTGGATTGTGGCCAACGCTTGTCCGAGGTAGTAAAGAATCAGGGATCATTGATCTCGATTTATAACTCTTCAATAATGGATGGAATCAAGAATGAACTTTAAAAACCTACTAGGATTCATCCAGCTGGCTTTCCCAGAAATAGATGTGTATTTGTGGAATTTGTTTCTGTAATATCTCGTTAATTTTTCAGAGTTCCCGGTGTGCGTGGCACGGATTGCAAGCTGGCACACACGCTCGTGCAAGTTCACTTCAACGAGCAGGCTGTTTCCTAAGCTGTGTCAAGTTATAAACTTGGAGTTGTAAAGCATCGCAATATTAGGATTCCTTGTTTTTTTCTTGCGGAGTTCATTAGCCACCGGCAATTAGCACGTTTCGCTGCACAAAATGGTATCATTTGGCATGTTCTGCCGCCATGGTCATGGATGTGATACTATCAGTTAAACTCCACGTGCCATCTGCTCTCAGGCAAAGATAAAGTGGGATGAAGGGGCTCTTCGGCCATCTCTTACCTTCTTAGCTACAAGAGGCTTGTTTGAAACAAAAATGACCATGTGCAGCACTCAATGTACCTCTTTTGGAGAAACATCATCTTGGCTTTTTGGCTTTTCTGTGGGGTGAAATTAAAGAACCTATATTAGTACTTCGAATGACTAGCGACAGATCATTACAGTACTTTACTAAACCTGCTCTTTTCAGAGTAGCCCAACAGAATTTATCCTGCTTTAATTCTCCTCTTGAGAATCACAGAATGAATATTTATATTTATGCAGATGAAGAAATAAAGCAATGTCACAACTTAAAGGTTGGTCCCCTCTGGCTACCTTAAGGTGACATTGCCCTGCTTGTTTACTCTTGTAGTATTGTTTAGCTTTCTTCTCCCATCACTTGAGGAGAAAGTTATGAAATGCAGTAAAGATATCCAGGAATTTCTTTAAGACAGAAAGTCTTATACCATCCTACCATAAACCATGCCAGCATATACAACTTCAGTAGCTTGGCCGGACTTGATACATGGAGATTGCATGCACCTGATAATCCCCAGTATGGTTAGGAAGATGCCCGAAATAGGGCAATATCAACACTTGTCACCCATCCTTATCCTGGGCTTTTTTTTCCCATTGGGACCATCCAAATAATCCTTGGGAGTTTCTTTAAGTTAGAAGAAAGTCATTATTCAGGAAGGAGAGATTAGATTCTGGCCTCTCGATTTTTATGTCATTTGCATCAACTTGCAATGCTACTCAGAAAAAGCTGGGAGCTGTCTCTTAGGTTTAGACGAAGTGCTCTGATGACTCAATATACAAAATGAATGTCTTGTGGGTCTATCTCCTTTCCATTAAATTCATCAGGAGACCGCAGAAGACTTCAATCGAATGGAAGCAATTACCCAAGCAGCATTTACTACAAAGGATGCGCTTGAGGGACTTTTCCTACTGGAACCCTGAAAGGCAACTGTCGAACTAATTATCTCGCCCCTTCTGACCACCTTATTGATCCTTTTAAAGGGGAGATTGGGTGGAATCTCCGGTCGGGACAAATCAGCTTCGCAACTCTTAGCCCTTGAATGCCTGGTGGTAAATTATTATGTCCAATTTCAACGGCAATAATTGGGGTCTCTGGTCTAATTTCTCTCCGCTTTCCTAACTTTGGGGATCATTTTAGGTCCTTGGGAAAGAGACACAAGTATTCAGAAGAAGATTGAAAGTCTTTATTGAATCCACAATCTTATTATCTGTATCAAATACTAAGTTTTGCTGAATCAGAATCTATTTCAACAATATCTCTAAATGACACGTTTGCACATCAAAGCTTGAGAAGCACTGTGTGTACCATGATTTGGGGACTTGGAGGTTATTCTAAACTCCTTGAGAAGGAGGTATGGTGGGGTAAGGTGGACAATATTGTGCATCTTTTACTATGTGGTATTTCCCGTGACGCTAGGCACACAAAAGAGAACAATTAGTCTGACTTAGAAGCGCCATGCATCGTGCAGACTTTCCTGGGCTCCTTCCGGACATAAATGCAGGCAGCGCTAGATACCACTGAGGTCTGAGGTCCCAGGGGAAGGGACATCTCCCACCTGCCCTTCTGAGGGCTCCCCAGTAAGGGCTGCATGTGAGATAGAAAGATGTCTGTGTTCCTTAGCATGGAGGTTCCCAAATTATACTTGGCATCAGAATTACCTGGGGTGGGGGTGGGGGACTTGGGTGGGGGGTGGGGCTCCACCCCTGAAGTTTCTAATTTAAAAAGTCAGGGATGGGACCCAGAATCTCCATTTCTGATCATTGCTCAGGTTAATATGGAAGCTTGTGGTCAGGGGCCACCAGCCTTTGGGAAACACTGCTCTGGGTGTTAATCCATTTAAAGCATTTGCTTTAAACATGTACTAACTAACTTATGTTTCACTTCTGCTGTGTTTACAACTAGTTCTAATTTCTAGGGGTCTGTCCTTGAGTAGATTGCTTAACCCCTCTTGGTTGTTTCATTTGGGTTAATTTTAAGATAATATTGCAGGTACTGCTAGGTGCTGGGTGTGCTCTCCATTTTTCTTTCTACGAACACCCTGCTTTCCTGGGTGGTGTATGCAGAGTTAACGCACTGACTTGCTCTGAGACCATGTGACTCAAATATGGCAATGAGGTTTAAACAGGAGTTGCAGGATGTGGCTTCTGGAAAAACTTCCTTGAAGGGGACAGAGTTGGTAGCTTCTTCCTTTTTCATATATATATGTTCATTATTTTTGAGAGAGAGAAAGAAACAGAGCATGAACAGGGGAGGTACAGAGAGAGAGGGAGACATAGAATCTGAGCTATCAGCACAGAACCTGGTGTGGGGCTCAATGTGGGGCTCGAACTCACAAACCATGAAATCATGATCTGAGCCAAAGTCAGACGCTCAACGAACTGAGCCACCCCTTCCCCCTGATCTTTGCCCTTCTTGTTGTCTGGAATACGGCTTGATAGCTGGAAGTGTACCAGTAGTCTTGCAAAGATAATAGCAGAACAGAAAAACAGAAGGAGCCTGGCAGGTTGCAGACACCCATTCTGGCCTGGGCTCTGGTCATATTATAGGAGAAACATCCTTTACTTGTCTAGGTCATTCTAGTTGGAGTCTGTTACCTGTAGGCAAATGCTATCCTAACTGATGCAGATCTCTCCATCCTGGACTTCCTTCTCCAAGAACAAGGTCACCTTTTGACATTTGGACCCTTTGTGACTCTTTTGCCGCCTCTTTATGATGAGGTTTCATAATAAGGTCATTAGAGTTACAAGTTCTTACAGTTCTCGCCTTCTTGCTACTTGCCAACCCCATGCCTATGGTGGTTATGAGGATAGAGGGGGCTGAATTAGATAGGAGATGGAAAAATTACAGTGATTTGAATGAGAAATCTATTCTAATTTCATTGGCTATAAGATATTGAGACTGATACATAATAAATGAGGAGTTTGCACATCCAGCCAGGAATTTTCACAGTGCCATTCAAAAGCCATTAGATAACATAAAATGCTGGGAGACTATCAGGGGACCCCCGAAAAGAAATATTAGCAGTTTCCATCATTAAATTTATGCTTCTCTTGATAAAGACCCTAGAAGCATATAATCAGAGTTGGTATTTGAGGAGATAGATGAACCTGAATTGGATGGGCATTGGAAAAATTATAATAATGTGAGTGAGAAATGTAACCGAGTTGGATTTTGGGGAAAAGGTTTACCCTTGACCTTGAACTCTAGATATTTCCTAATCTGGTGAGTATCAGAAATTCGGTAATTTCCTAAGATTCTATAAGCTATAACTATAATCCTATAACTACTTGTGGAATAAAAGGACTAGTCTTCCCCAGCCATGTCTAGGCTGGCTTGGTTTCTCTCCCGTGCTTCCATAGTTACCTGGAGTGATGGTTAAGAATGTAGAGACAAATTGTCTGGATTTTCATCTTAGCTGTGACTGAGGAAGTGAATAGCCTCTCTGGGCCTGAGGTTGCCATTTGTGAAATGTAGACAA